CAAGGGAGGAGATGCTGTTTCGGGCAATTGGTTTGGTACAGAACCAAGACTCCTGGCAAGCGCACTCTCGATCCGAACATGGCGCCAGCGCTCTTTTTGGGTTGGAGGGTCGATCCGGGGTTGCGGTACCGTAATGTGGTCAAAGTCATGGACTATGAAGCCTTCCGTAAAGATGGTTCCATTTCCGTTCACGATGTTCCTGAACCGGAATTGTTCGTTGAGGACGGACCCCCAAGCTTTCCGATTGCAGCAGCAGCAGATAGAGCATTGCATGGCGGCAAGACAGACGGTTCAGATCCCCCAACTTTGCCCCTGCGAGAGGCGCCCTTTGGGGCCCCACCGACTCCATCCGCTGTCAAGTCAAAATCCGTGTACATAACTGTTGAGAGGATCATCAAGTTCAAGGAAACGCCAGGTTGCCGTGCATGCACCGGTCATTCCAAGATTCACAGTGCCGAATGCAAGAAGAGGTTCTCCCAACTTGTTTCTGCAGATCGAGCTGAAGCAGCTGCAAAAAGCGCTGCCAAAACTGAATCTAAGGAACCCATTCCCACTGTTCATACTGAAGGGGATGAGGAGCTAGCCAGAGCAATCCACGCATCCGAGCATGAAGAGGATCCTAAAATAGCAGTTAGTGCAGAAGACGTTGCGCATGAATTTGATGCAGCCGAAGCTGGGGAGCCCGCTCCCTCAAGACCCGGCGCCTCATTTTTCGATACCGCGCCAGCGACAGCCGCTACATCGCAAGGTGAAGATTTTTGGGTGTTCAAAGAAAATGCCAACTGTTTGGTCCGATACCATATCATGCCAAGGCAGAATCTTTTTACCCCAAAAGAGGTCGAGGATTGCCCCGTTTCCCCAGAAAGATTTACTGCAGCTCGCACCACTCGTGCCGTGTTTCAGGGGGGCAAAGCAGACAACATCCACGATGGTTGGTTTGGTAGCCGACCTAATCGCTCACTTGGAGATGCATGGACCGGGTTCACAGTGTTCAAGTTAAAACCCATTCAGTCTGATTGTGTTATCACCACAGGTGCAGCCGTGATGTTAGACTCCGTACCGCCGACACCTCTCACCGAAGCGTCAAAGAACGGTCGTCCAGATACATTGCCAATTTTTGGCATGCCATGCAGGGCAGAGGTTGAAGCTCCGCAGCCCAAGCAGTTTGAGGTAGGAAATCATCGTGCCCGCAAGCGACAGGCACGCATTGACAAGTTGCCTGTGATGTTCGAATACGCATGTTCACCAGAGTCCAATATGGGTCGCGTGTTTGAAGGTCTTGGTATACCTCATGTTAGGTTGGCTAAAGAGTTTATCGACCTTAGCACAGATGAAGGAGAAATCCAGTTGCAGTCGCAGATTGAAGGTTGTGACAAACCCAATCTCTGGGCTGCAATTCCCTGCACATCAGGTTCAGCATGGCAACGCCTTAATAAGGCCAAGTTAGGAAGCCAGTTCAAAAAGAAACTGAAGCAAAAGGTTAGAGAGTCGAGAGAGTTGTTCTCCAGATTCAGACGTCACGCAGAGACTGTCCTCCATCAGGGGGGTAGTGTTTCGTTTGAGTGGCCAAGGGATTGCGACAGCTGGGCTAGGGATGATGTTTCTGCATTCTTTAGGGAATACGCACAAGTCTTCACCCCAGCGACCTTCCACGGTTGCGCCCTAGGTCTGAAGGACAGCAATGGTTATCCCATCAAGAAGCCATGGAAAGTCATGACCAGCAATAGCACACTCGCATCCGCGCTAGGTGCATTCAAGTGTCCGCACGAAAAAGGGTATAAACACTCGCTTGCAGCAGGAAACAAGACCGCAAAGACCGCTTTCTATCCCGAAGGCATGTGTCTCACAGTTGCCCGTGCGCTGTATCCGACAGTTCAGCCCGTAGTGCCTGCGATGCCTGTCCAAGTGCCATTGCCTCTCGATCACCGGGAACGTGAACAGCAGCTAAAACACATATCCCCTCTCTCCGGTTTGGAAGACATAGGTGTTGCTGTTGAGTCCGATGAAAAGTGTCACAACATTCTTGAACAAGTTCTTGATGTTGAAAATCTCATCGCGCATTCCCTAGGACAAGTCAACAAAGAGAAGGATCCTGAGATCACCGCAATGGTGACCAGACTCTTGTCACGTGCCGAAATGTTGGCTTCCCCGGAAGCTCTTGAAGCCGTTCGACTTGAAGCCACAGGCCTGGAGAAGGCCGGTGCTTGGGATCTAAATTCAGTCCGAGAGTATGATCAAGTCGCTGCTGAGGCGCGACGATCCAGTATAAAAGTCCATTTCGGGCAGTTGATGTCGCTAGCATCCGTCAAGTTCGCCGAACTCGCGAAACACCTTCAGAAGATGAAAGGTAGGATTGTGTATCGCGGAGACTGTGCGAAAGACGAACATGGCGCAGCAGCTGTCTACCAAGAGTTGGGAGCAAATCCCACGAGCGTACAAGGTCTTAATAACTGTCTCGCTTATGGATCCCTGCCAGGGAATTCCACCACAACAGCGGACGCTATAAAGGCTTATGTGCAAGCACTGCTGAAGTCCAAGTACCAACTTGGATCACACTCCCGCCTGAGCTCCGGCCAAGGTGGTGGCGCGAGCGTTTCGTGAAACCTGTGGTTTTGCTCGTTAAAGCTCTTTATGGGCATCCTGACGCTGGCGGACTCTGGGAGGCACACCTCAAAGGTTTCATTAGTGAACTTGGAGGGCGTGAGGTCGCAGAGTTTCCTGGAAACTTCTGGTTCAAGGAGTCCGGGTTACTTCTCTCGACATACGTCGACGACTTGACGTTGGCCGGCCCCAGCCACCTTCATAAAGACTTCTGGGAAAAGTTAACAAGACTGGTTGATATAGAACCCCCAGAAGACATATACCGGGTGCTAGGCAGGAATCACCTTTTGATAGATGCTCCAAAGGACCCAACTGAACCCGATCTTAATGCCGCAATGGGCAGATTGAAAGGGGGCATGGCGTTCGACATGCGGGATTATGCCCGTCAAACGGTTGCATTATATCTTGAGGTTGCACAGCTAAAAACAGAAAAGTTGCGTGATGCCACCACTCCATTCTGTCCCGCTGGATCCCTTGATCCTGCAGATGACGCCTTGGAGGGTGAGCTCGGCTTCGCCGCTTGCCGCGTGTTAATGAAAGCCTTATGGCTCGGCCGTTTGGCACGTCCAGACCTGGTCAAGCCCATTGGCGACCTTGCCTCATTTGTTCAGAAATGGTCTAGGAACTGCGATAAGCAGCTACATAGGCTTGTCTGCTACATAAACAGCACGGTCAACAGCACGCTAGTTGGCACAGTCCAGGATTCGACTGATGAGTTGCATCTGTCTCTCTATGTGGACGCCGATTTCGCAGGAGAACGAGACGCAAAATCTACGTCCGGAGGATTCTTGATTTTGAGTGGTCCGCACACGCATTTTCCCCTTGCGTGGGTGTCTAAAAGGCAGACCTTGGTCTCCCGATCGACAACCGAGGCGGAGATCGTGTCTCTTGCGTACTCCCTGTACCAGGAGGCTCTCCCAGCGCTCAGCTTATGGGAGCTGATCTTGGACCGACCATTCCATCTCAAGATTCACGAGGACAATCAGGCGACTATCCTCGTAGCAAGGAAAGGTTTCTCATCCAAGCTACGCTGTGTCCAGCGAACACACAAGGTGAACCTCGCGTGCATCGCAGAGCAGCTTGAAAGCGAACATATCTCGATAGAATACGTCCAAACCGACATGCAGTCAGCAGACATCTTCACGAAAGCGCTTCCACCCAACAAGTGGGACCATGCCATCCGGTTGCTCGGCATTCGTGTTGACCTTCCAGAGAAGCTTGAAGATGTTCGTGAAAGTAGGTCCGCTAAAGCAGCTGCCTAGTGCGCTGCAGCATGTCTGCAAAAAGTTCCAAAAGTGTGCAAGTGACTGGGCGATGCTTGAATAACTTGCGTCAGTCGTTGTGATGTAAACTTGACTTCAAGTTGGCGTGGTAATGCGCCCAAGACACTCCCTCAGTGCCGTCAATGAGGGGGGAGTCAATTATCACGATGACATTTATGGCCCAGAGGTTCATGAGGTAGGCACTCATGTTTGCAAGGTACAAGAACAGTGACATGACCACATGTCATTGCTTTGGCTCAAGAAAAGAGCGCGTTGCACGCGCTGCCACAAAGTTAAGGGAGAGGTCGCAGTCACGGAGGGGTTCGTTCCTTTTAAGGTCCCGGGTTCCCCCGTTGTTGACAAAACTGTGTTTCCCTCTCCCTTGAGTGAAGCTGGTGTTTTTTGGGGCGGCTTTGCGGGGAGGGCTCGAATCTCCACTGGTTCGCGTACTTGCTCTCAGGGTGCGCTGGCTTTTTCACTCCAAACTTTCAGGTGAGCAGAAGCCAATGTTTCAAGAACAGTGATGTGGATGAGCACAGCAGGCTCTGCAGAGGCTTTGAGCAACCGGCCGTTCAATGACTCGCAACTTGAGTAGCCATGGACTCTGCAGAGGAAGTAGCCTCCAGTGTCAAAGGTACCCCTTTCCGGAGGGCTTTCAAGGGAAGCCAAACGTAACACTTTTTTATTTTCCGTTTTTTTTGGAGGGGGGGTGACGTTTGGGACCCGGCTATGCAGCGCCCCCTCTTGGTTGAGCTTGCTTCTATTGCACGAACGAGCGGAGGATCTCTCAACGCTGGCGAAAGAAAAAGGGGGGGTGAATCCCCTTAAACACCTATTGTGACCTTCATAAAGCTGCACTGGTTGCAAACACGTTGTCTTTTTTCTCCCATCGAGGGCTGGAAGGCTCAGGCTGTGGGTCAAAAATAGGGTAATCCCAAAATGGAAGGTTTTATGGTTTCAACCATGGTTCTAGGGGTACCTTCCATTTCCGTTCTTTCTAGGGATCCGAATTTCTTTCCAGAAAACCCCCAGAAATTTTAAGTTGAAAACGGCCGTTTCAACTTGGTGCGAAATGGACTCGCCACCATCCACCGGTCCGAGTTGACCATGGCACGGTCGGTACGAGACCTCGGCCAGGCAGACATCGCTGGTGCCATTGCCGAGCTCGAGGAGTCCTTTGGTGTCGGCTTTGAACAGCTTTCAGGTGGCCTTTTGGACTTTTTCCGGCCAGTCCACTCAATGGCGGAATTTAGAGAGAGAGAGAGAGAGAGAGACCTGTGATTGCTGACTCCTGAGTCGTGCTTGGCAATCAGGGCTCCTTAAAAGATCTCCATTTTGCAACCATTTGAAGCATGTGGCTTTTTCAACACCAGAATAAAGGGACACCACCATTTACAAGTTGCAATGTTCAGGTGCATAATGCAAGGATCCCTGTTAAAGCTTGGGTCTCGTTTCTTTATGTTATCTGTGGCGCAACGGGCTTCCTTTTGGTTTTCCTTTAAAACCACTCCAAGCAGGGTACGCCAAAAAAAGACAGACTTCTTTCCGAGACCCCCTTTGTGGGTTGGTTAGGGAGACGACAGGGACCCCACCCATTTGATGGGCCCTCCCTATTCTGAGACCTCATTTGAATTTTCTCCCTTCGCGTCTTTCCGCGGGATGCCTCTTCAAGGCGCAGGCCGCTTTTTTTCTGACTCCCTGAGTTCACGAACTTCAAACTTTTTTCGGGTTTGGACCATTTTAGTGGTCAAATCAAAAGTTATCAGACCTTTTTTGGGGCCCTCCACTCCGCCAGGGAGTTTTCTGGGGCCTCCGGAGGTGTGAGGTTTCCGATGTTTTTTCGGTCTCCAACCAGGACGCCTTTGAGCTGGTGGAGCAGGGCCAAGTGGAGGAGGAGGTCTTGAAGGACCCACCAAAAACCGGGAGCTCCGGGGTTGGGGTTGGCTCCAAAAAAATTCTTGTGGAGGGCCCCCCAGGATTTTTTTCATGGACCAAGGGGTCCCAACTTTTTTCCCAGGTGGTTGAAAAATGTCGATCTCTTTTTAGGGGGTGTTCCGACCAATGGTCATCCCATGTAAAGGAGCTTTTGGTCGACCCCTTGCTGTTCAACTGGGGGAACCTGATTCTCAAGAATGTCAAGTCAGCAAGGAGTGTCCCCTCTGGCGAGGAGATATGTGAGTGTGATGAGAGAAACCTTTGGTTGCTCATGACAATTCGGCCAGCGGACGAGGACTAGTTAGTAGCCATGAAACAGGTGATTGTACAATACTCTGCACAGGTCAAAATGGTTATTTGAGCCGTATTTTGGGCTTCCGAATAGTTCTTTGGGAGTTGGATGTTGATGTGGATGTTGTGTACGGATGTGGACCAGCCTGACGGTGCAGTGACCACTGAGATGCTTGCACGCATTTGCACCATCGGGCTGCTCAATCAGCTTGGAGCTTCGCGGGTGGAACAACTGGTGCATGATGGCAGTTGTGCGCACAATGAATAAGAGCAGAATATGCAAGAGGGTTTGATGGATATCTGAAGAGGCTGTAGTTTCATAGTTTCATGACTTCCGTTCTTCTTTTGGGGAGAGGCTAAAGACACCTTGGACGTTTTGGCGGGTTCTGTTTGCCATCCACGCAGCTTCAAGCATTTCAACGGATTCTGTATGCTTTGCGCAGCTTGAAGGTCCACAACCAGCATTTCCTGTGCCACACCTGTGGATTCAGGTTCCAACCCTGTGCATGAGTGTACCTTGTACATGCTCCGCCGCTACAGACTTCAAGAGCACTATCAGCAGTGTGAAAAGTAGTCAACGGTTTGCTGCTTGCCTAGGTATTACCTTAGGTGGCCTAGGCTTGATAACACAGGTTATCAGCCGTAAAGGCTTGTACAAAGATCGCCATGGCATCCGGAGATAGGCCTGCTATTTACAACATATCTGGAGACGTTGGTGACGGTAGTGAAGGTGCAGTTGCATCCAATGGTCCTGTTGACCCTCGCGATCCTCGAAACGTATTCGGGTTCGCGACAAACTACCAAGCCACCCAGAACATTATGCATGTGCATAACGACACGGGTGACGCTGTTAGGGAAGAGGCCAACACGTTACATCGCGTTGCTATGGATGCTGCAAGGGCGGAATATAGCGCTCATTTGGCAGAAACTGTGCATCGCCTGGATGAGGAGGACCCTTGAGCTGCACGAGCAGTTCGCAGAGTCCCGCGCTTTCTTCAGCGCCCAGGTTAGCCAGATGCGGGGAGCAATTTCTGCCGAAGTGAACGAAGCTGTGTCGCAAAGAACGGCACAGTATAGCGCTTTCGCACAAAGCTTACATGCTGAAACTGTTGTGATGGAGAATTCGGAGAAGGCGGTCGGTGAGCAGAGAGACAGTATTTTGGCGGAGAACCACGCCATGCAGGACACGATCAACGGGCTGAACGACACCGTTGAGCGTCTGAGGAACGATCTCGAAAAGGCGCAGCGTGAAATGGTGCGCGGAGATCCTCAGCCTGCGTCAAGTGTACAGAACGTCAGTTCGGAGTCGTTTTTGGATAAGAGGGGCAGTATCTTTGATGATCCGCGTCTTTTTCCAACGCAGAATGCACAAACTTCTGGAACTATGCCACAGATTATTCCACAGCAGAGTTGGACTGATCCTATTTCTGGTGCAATGCAGTTTGATATCAAAGATCATGCGAGACGGTCTTCGGAGCAAGAGAACAGCCGAAGTCAGCAAAATCAGCCGAACATTGATCGGTTGACTGGTCCCGAGACCACCGAGGCGGAGTTCCGTGCGGCCCTCCTCGGCTTCGTCCGGAATCAGCATGATCGGCCAAAAGCAAAGGAAGCCGATTCGCTGAGGCTGAGTGAGTTTCCCACTCCTGAGACCTATAGAGCCTGGAAAACGGCTACTCGCGAAGAGATTCGGGCTGCTTCAGATCGGCCTGATGCTGCATTCACCTGGGTTAACAAGGTGTACGTCAACCGGGAGGACAAGAAGAATCTAATGTTAGAGCTAGGAGATCCAGAGCAGTTTGAAACGTTGGATACAAAGCTTCTTGCGGCCTTGTCGCGGATTGCTAGGGGCGACCTTAGTCGGCAGATCCTCACCTACAAGGAGCAACAAGCTGCTTTGGACAAAGTTGTCCGTGGACGTCAAGTTCTTCTCATGTTTGAGCAGTATTTCAGAACAAATGAGGAGGCCGGAGCGTTGTATTCCACTGAAGATTTGTTGAAGGTGGTGCTTCATGGCAACGATTTGATGACCTTTATTCAGAATTGGGATTCCGTCATTGCCGGCATGAAGATCGTTCCGGAGCAGCACGTCTTGAAGGACATTTTCTTGCGACAGATTCGTGGATGTCACAAGATCAAGTATGACCTCGATACGTACGAGCGTGCAAAAGATGGGTCGTATGACAAGAGCTACGAGTTTCTTGTTCAAGCCGTTCGTGATGTTTTGACTCGGGAGCGATTGCAGTCAAATCGTGATCGTGTTGCTCGAGCTCACAATCAGAAGGTCGGTGCTCCAGCTCCCAATGCAAATCCTGGGCGTGCAAGAGATCCCTCAGCGGTCAGGTATTGCTATGATTTTCAGAAAGGCAAGTGCACTCGGGATAATTGCATTTACAAGCATGAGAAAGACCCAAGACCCCCGAGCCAAAATCCGAAAGGAAAAGGTCGGGGGCGCTCTGACAGCCAAGCGAGAGACAGGGATCGGTCGGCATCGAGAAAGAGAGCGGAGCTGAAGAAGATCCCCTGCAGGTTTTTCAAAGGCGGTCAGGGGAAATGCACTCGTGGAGACAACTGTGCGTTTTCGCATGAGACTCGGTCTGCTGCACCAGCAACAGATAAGCCGAGCCCAAAGAAAGGAGCCAGCAGAGGTAGGTCTCCCACCCCAAAGGGAAAAGGGAGGAAGCGATCCCAGAGCAAAAAGGGCGAGTCCTCAGCCGCTGTGTGTCTGAGGGTGAAAGAGACCAATGCATGCCTCGCAGCATGCCGCCCAAAGCAAGATTTCTGGGAAGTTGACTCGGTGAACGAGATGGTCATTCGACACCATGTGATGCCTCGAAAAGCGCTTTATGATCCGAAGAGTGCAAAAGACCTTCCGATTTCGCTGGAACGTTTATTGGATCAGCGCATCACCAAAGCCAACATCAATGGCAAAGAGCAAGTATTTGGTGATTTCTGGGCGGATCCTGATGAAGGTTTGGAGCAATACTGGACTGGGCAAACAATTTTCATTTGCAGTACAGATGTTTCCAATACCCGCAGATGCGTCAAATTCGCAGACAATGTCGAGATCGTCGAGATCGAGGCCAATGGGCTATGCCTATCATGTGCTCCAAAGCCGAATGACCCTGAGGTTGTGTGGTATGATGGTTGTGCGCCTGGCTCAAATCCCAAGGATCTGATCGATGCTAAAGACAAAGCTTTGATTCTGGAAGGGGTTGTTGACTTGATGCATGCAAACTACAACGCGCCTTGTGGGTTTTATTGCGAATACTATGATGACAATGACCCAATTTATTGCGGTTTATATTGTCCTGGCTGTTGGATTGATGATGATGAAACGAACCTTGACGATGTGCCGGAGTACATTGCTACGCCAGCACCAGCAGGGCTTCGTCAGTGGATTGTCGACACAGGGAGTGAACAAGATCTGGTTGACTCTGAGCGTGCAGTTACACTTCAAAAGAAGATAAATCCTGCATTGACTCCAATCAATCTTTCAACAGCAAATGGATCAATTTGTGCAGACAAGATTGCGGACTTCTCCATTGATCAGTTGAACGAGGTCGTCACTCCGTATGTTTTGCCGAGCACACCAGCTGTACTTTCTGTTGGTCAAAGATGTTTGGAAAAGGGGTACGATTTCGTATGGAGAAAGAACAGTGCTCCGTACTTTGTGCGACCTGACGGGAAAGCGGTAATATTGAAGCTCGATGGGCGAGTTCCATATGTTGACGATCAGTGCGAGGTCATAGCTTCTGAATCAGCTATGCCTGTTGCTCTTGCTGCATCCGATCAGAAGATCGGGGGCGTTGAAGTGCCTTCATCTTCAAGCGGAGGGCAACCTCCGCCGGATGCTGCATCGTTTCCATTGCGCCCTGATGAAGCTGAACCGCTGGAACCGGAGTTTGATCCGGAATTGGAGGACAACCCTGAGGTTGCGAAAGCTCCAAAACCGATGTCAAAGCGTTCAAAAGAAATGATGATGCGTGAGGCCAAAAGTGAAGAGCATCTTTTCACTCACAGGCCCAAGAATCCCTTTTGCGAAACGTGTGTGCGATCAAAGATGCAAGCACCTCAGGCTCGTCGCAGACATGGATCTTCTTCGGTGGATGCAAAAGCATTTGGAGATCATGTGACTGCTGACCACGTCATTTCAAATGATGAGACGTACGGGTTCAAGGGCGAGTGGAATGCTTTGGTCGTGAAAGATGTGTTCACGCAGTTCCGGTATTTTTACCCTTCAGCAAGGCAAGATGCTGACAGTTGCGTTCGTGCATTTCAACATTTCACGAAGCCAGATGATCATGTTGGGATTTTCTATTCTGACAATTCTGGCGAGATTGCAGCTGCAGTAAAGAGTATGGGTTGGAGACACGTGCTGAGCCAGCCATATGTCAGTCAATCTTCCGGGGTGATCGAGCGCGAGATTCGTACAATTCTGGAGGGAGCAAGAGCAAATCTGTTTCAAAGTGGTTTGCCGGTTGAGCTTTGGCCTTTGGCAGCTCAACATCATGCATTTGCTCTCAATGTTACAATTCCAGATGACAAGGATAAGTCGCCGTGGGCTTTGCGTTTTGGTGATGAGTTTCCTGACACGAAGATTCCATTTGGTGCAAAATTGTCGTATTGGATCAATCGTCAGCGCGTCGATTCGAAGCAGTCCAAGTTTCTGCCAACTTC